GGATACTAATGTTACAGAGAATAACTAAACAATGTCCAACTTAAAAGCCTACGTAGTGTAGTGTATGTTTTGCTCCATTATTGTTCAAATTTCATTGTACAATCTCTTAGTAATTAAATAATCAACTAAAAACAACAGACATAGCCCCACTCCACAAAGGGGGCAGTAAAGCAACAGCAAAGAACTACAGACCAATAGCACTAACATCCCATATCATAAAAATCTTTGAAAGGGTCCTAAGAAGCAAGATCACCACACATCTAGAAACCCATCAGTTACACAACCCAGGGCAACATGGGTTTAGAACAGGTCGCTCCTGTCTGTCGCAACTATTGGACCACTACGACAAGGTCCTAAATGCACTAGAAGACAAAAAGAATGCAGATGTAATATATACAGACTTTGCAAAAGCCTTCGACAAGTGTGACCATGGCGTAATAGCGCACAAAATGCGTGCTAAAGGAATAACAGGAAAAGTCGGTCGATGGATCTATAATTTCCTCACTAACAGAACACAGAGAGTAGTCGTCAACAGAGTAAAGTCCGAGGCAGCTACGGTGAAAAGCTCTGTTCCACAAGGCACAGTACTCGCTCCATCTTGTTCCTCATCCTTATATCCGACATAGACAAGGATGTCAGCCACAGCACCGTGTCTTCCTTTGCAGATGACACCCGAATCTGCATGACAGTGTCTTCCATTGCAGACACTGCAAAGCTCCAGGCAGACATCAACCAAATCTTTCAGTGGGGCTGCAGAAAACAATATGAAGTTCAACGATGAGAAATTTTAATTACTCAGATATGGTAAACATGAGGAAATTAAATCTTCATCAGAGTACAAAACAAATTCTGGCCACAAAATAGAGCGAAACACCAACGTCAAAGACCTGGGAGTGATCATGTCGGAGGATCTCACCTTCAAGGACCATAACATTGTATCAATCGCATCTGCTAGAAAAATGACAGGATGGATAATGAGAACCTTCAAAACTAGGGAGGCCAAGCCCATGATGACACTCTTCAGGTCACTTGTTCTATCTAGGCTGGAATATTGCTGCACACTAACAGCACCTTTCAAGGCAGGTGAAATTGCCGACCTAGAAAATGTACAGAGAACTTTCACGGCGCGCATAACGGAGATAAAACACCTCAATTATTGGGAGCGCTTGAGGTTCCTAAACCTGTATTCCCTGAAACGCAGGAGGGAGAGATACATGATTATATACACCTGGAAAATCCTAGAGGGACTAGTACCGAACTTGCACACGAAAATCACTCACTACGAAAGCAAAAGACTTGGCAGACGATGCACCATCCCCCAATGAAAAGCAGGGGTGTCACTAGCATGTTAAGAGACCATACAATAAGTGTCAGGGGCCCGAGACTGTTCAACTGCCTCCCAGCACACATAAGGGGGATTACCAACAGACCCCTGGCAGTCTTCAAGCTGGCACTGGACAAGCACCTAAAGTCAGTTCCGGATCAGCCGGGCTGTGGCTCGTATGTTGGTTTGCGTGCAGCCAGCAGCAACAGCCTGGTTGATCAGGCTCTGATCCACCAGGAGGCCTGGTCTCAGACCGGGCCACGGGGGCGTTGACCCCCGGAACTCTCTCCAGGTAAACTCCAGGTACCTCATTTTGTGATTTTACTAGTAAGCATAAGTCACTTTATGTAATTTTCTTATTTACTATTGTTTGCTTAAACATTAGCTGAATTGATACTTTCTCTGTCCATATTACTACCTCATATTTTTTTAAATACTATCAATTGATATTACTTACTAAAATTAATAATTATCATTTTTACTATAATTTCAATTTACTCTTAACATTTTTGACATTTAATAACCATTACTTGTCTAATTACCTTTACCTGTTTTAATACCACATTTACTATCTTAGAGTACTCTTGATTACCTTGTACTGCCATATAACCTCTAGTATAACTACCAGTGCAATATTGAATGAAATAAACATTACTTTTTCACTTTTTTTGTAATCATTATTACTTACTAAAATTTTATTAAACACCATATTTACTACCAGTCAATTTTACTTTTGTACATTAAACATTATTTTATACTTCCCATAACATTTTGTTGCCAAATTATCAAGTTTGTATATTCAACTCCAACCTTTATATTATCCTTTGTACCTGTGTACCTGTCTACCATCTTACTATCATATTATAACCAAGACATTACCATTGTTATTTTGGTACTTTAATTGTGAATTTTATTTTGTCAATTTAAATCTAGTTATACTCTTGATCTTGTCAACAACCTATACCAGACTCTAGTGCAATTGCAAGTACCATTTCAATTTGTATTTTTATATTATAAGTTTATATTATAATTCCTACTCTAAGATTGTTTTCATTTCTTAGTGACTATACTATTGTGTGTGCAATTAGTGTATATTTCAATTATATTATTGTTCAAGACCCTTAACTATCTTTTGCTAACTAGTACCAACCACCTCATATATCTTTTTTTTTTTTTTTTTTTTTTTTTTTTGCTACCTTAACTTGTATATTTTATCTTGTCAATTTAAATCTAGTTATACTCTAATTCTTGTAAACAACTTATATAACACCTTAGTGCAATTACAATTGAGAGTCTTGTGCCTTTTTTATATTATTAGATTAAACTCAGTTGTACTATAGTCAATACCAAATTCATTATATTAGACCATATTGCAATTACTAGTGAGAGACTGGTGCTATTTTTAATTTGTATTTTTATATTATTAGATTAAATCTAGTTGTACTATAGCTCATTCTAGCTTTATATTAGTAGATTAAATCTAGTTGTACTATAGCTCATTCTAGCTCAAAACATAGACTCCACAAAAGTCATTATATTAGACCTTAGTGCAATTACAAGTGAGAGTCTTGTTCTATTTTAAATTTGTATTTTTATATTACTAGTTTATACCTAGTTGTACTTTAGTTCATTCCAGCACAACACATAGACAACATCAACTTCATTATGTGTAGTAGTGACTATACTCTATATGACCAAAATACTCTAGCTATATACTTATCCAAGCTTCCTACCACTACAGATATCAGTACTAGAACTCAACACATAACTCAGGATATAAATAACCATACTGTACAAGCGAGCGGCCCATATCCTTTTGCATGATATTTCATTACTTTTTAACAAGTCACTAGAAACTAGCACCTTCCCGAAACTACTCAAGATGGCAAGGGTTACACCAATACATAAAGGTGGTGACCCTACAGACTTAAACAACTATAGGCCAATATCAAACTTACCATTGCTATCCAAAATCTTTGAGAAACTCGTGCACAGGAGACTATATTCATTTATAACAGCACAAAACATACTCAACCCCTGCCAATTTGGATTTAGGAAAAATAAAAGCACTAATGATGCAATCATAAAAATGCTAGATCTGCTTTACACAGCATTGGAAAATAAGGAATATCCACTAGGAATTTTTAATGACCTAAGAAAAGCTTTTGACACAGTAGACCACGACATCCTACTCCACAAACTTGACCATTACGGTATAAGAGGCCATGCGCTTGCTTATTTCAAATCTTACCTACTAATAGGTATCAGTATGTTACCATTAAAGACACAGCACCCAACAACACGGCCACTTGATACTGGAGTTCTGCAGGGAAGTGTCCTTGGTCCCCTGCTCTTCCTCATATACATCAATGATCTTCCAAACATATCCCAACACCTGAAACCCATTCTCTTTGCTGACGACACGACTTATGTCATCTCTCACCCTAATCTTGCCACCCTCAACACCATTGTTAACGAGGAGCTGATCAAAATATCGACTTGGATGACAGCCAATAAAACTTACGCTTAACACTGACAAAACCTACTATATTATGTTTGGTAGCAGAGCAGGATATGCACAAATTAACATTAAGATCGACAACACTCTAATTACCAGACATAATGAGGGCAAATTCCTAGGCCTATACCTTGACAACAACCTGAATTTCAGCACCCATATCCAACACATAACCAAAAAAGTATCCAAAACAGTAGGGATCCTCTCCAAGATACGATACTACGTGCCGCAAAATGCCCTTCTCACACTATACCACTCACTTATTTATCCATACCTCACCTATGCTATTTGTGCTTGGGGATCAACTGCACCAACACACCTAAAGCCAATAATAACCCAACAAAAAGCTGCAGTAAGAATAATCACTAAATCCCATCCCTGGCAACACACCCTCCCACTCTTCATAGATCTAAACTTACTCCCTGTTCAGTACATCCACACTTACTATTGTGCAATCTACATCTACAGGACCTTAAACTCCAATATCAACCTTGACCTAAAACGCTTTCTTGATAGTTGTGACAGAACCCACAGGCATAACACCAGACACAAACATCTCTACGACATTCCCCATGTCCGACTAAACCTTTACAAAAATTCAATGTATGTCAAAGGCCCTAAAATCTGGAACACCCTACCTGAGAACTCTAGAACTGCAGACACATTCATCACCTTCAAAACTACCATTAGAAAACATCTTATCTCCTGATAAAACCCCATCAACTAACTACACGAATACCACCTGGTGGTTCACACTTACTCACTCACCTATTTGACCATAAACAGAAATATTAATCTCAATCTTAAATAATGAATCCTATGATACTCCAATACTGAAACTATGTACTGTGCCAAAACAAAAGCATTCACATTGCTAAACTCACAAACTAGTATTTAGTCACTTAGCCATAATACCAACTTACCTCATAATTTGTAATATTTTAAAATAAAGAATTGAACTAAGTCTGCCCGAAATGCCTAGCCATGCTAGGCGTTCCAGTGGTACACTCTGTAATCATTATTTAACTACATGTAAACCACACAACAACCAAATTCTGTAAATTCAACATTGTAATCTTTATAGAGAATAAACTTTGAATTTGAATTGAATTGAATAAAGCCAATAAAAAAGCTAATATTTGCTGTTTTATTTTCCAGGTTATTAAGTGCAAAGCTGCTGTGGCCTGGGAAAAGGAGAAACCTTTGACTATAGAAGATGTTGAAGTTGCTCCTCCAAAGGCTGGAGAAGTGCGCATAAAGGTATGGTTAAATTGGCTTTTCAGTATACTGTACCATTAAAATTTTTGACAATAGATGTTATAAGCCTAAATGTCTTCTAATTGTTTTACTTGATTTTGCTCACAGGCCAGTGCTTTAACCCTTTCAGGGTCCAGAGGCCAAATTTCAGTGTCCAAGAATTTTCAAAAAATAATTGTTATTTTTTCTTAAGTGGTAGAGAATCTTTTTCTGAAGGTAATAAAACAAAAAGTACGAAATTTGATGGAAAATTGACGAAATTATACTCGCGAATTTTGATGTGTCAGCGATATTTACGTATTGGCGATTTTGCTGACTTTGACTCCCATTTTAGGCCAATTACCTTATTCCATTCGATCAAATTCCTAGCTATTTTAGTAGTATTACTTCTATTCTATCGATTGAGCACAAGAAATCGCCAACTCAGCTGTTTCAACTACAAAATAAAGTGATTGGAAATTGGTAATTTGGCCAATTTAGTGCAAAGTTCAAAATATTCCAATTTCATAATAGGGTCCAGAATAAACAATGCAGGCATTCCTGGCACTAAAGTAACATTTCCTCTGTTCATTAGTTATGTTTTCAGGCTTTACAAATGAATTCCATTTTGATTTTTAATTTGCATAATTAATTTTTATTCAAACCAAAAAATAGAAGATTTACTGTCATGCAATATTGTAATAATTGTATAAATAATATCAGCACATTTGTGAACGTGTATTAGACTCACCAGCTGGCGTGTATTAGACGTGTGAGGTCATTTGTTTATGCTTGAGTATTGGCAAAAATTTAACATTTCTGCTAATTTGAGCTCAGTTTCAAGTCATTGTCAATACTAAAACCAATCAAAATCATCTCTGTTTCTGTAATATACCTTCCATTCTATCGAATGAGACCAAGAAATCACAAATACATCTATAAAAAACATACGAAAAAATACTGCAAAGTTGCTGTTTTAATGGAAAATTACGGTCTCGGTTTTTTCTCTCATTATGCACTGTGTGCTGCAGGATTTGTTTTATGTGGTGCACACATACCACATAGATGTATTCTCTCATATCTAGGACCAGATATACTGCTCACAGCTTATCAGAGTGAGCTGAGCTCATGGCGTAGATCTACGGTTTGGACCCTCAACATAAAGCCGTGGATCTACGGCACGGGCCCTGAAAGGGTTACTGCAGTGGCCTGTGACTTTTAGGACTCGCTTGCCATGGGTTCAAAATTCACCTGTTTTGTGATTGTAAAAGCTCCTGGTGAGTAAAACACAAGTTTCTGAACACTTGTCTGATTTATATGTAACCATTACAACTTGGCTGATTAGACATCTCTTAGGCTACAGGTCTTGTAATATGCAGTACTATTATGAAATATACCATATGCATATATGTAGTTTAATAAGGGTCATAGTAATACAGTATAAAGGACAATGGAAATTAAAGAATACTGTAGTTTGGTTTTAATATTGTTTACATTCCTTTCCTGTCTTGCCTAAAAATTTTAAATTCTAGCAAAGACCCTGGTATTTACATAGACAGCCATAATCTGTACTAGCCAGTTAGTACTCATTACAGTCGTATAATTTCCTATGCATAATTACAAACAAGCTTGTTGGTTTCATGGTGTCAAAGTGAATTGTCTCACAAATAATTAAAAATATTATTTTAATTTAGGTACTTGCAAGTGGAGTGTGTCACACTGATGCTTATACACTGGATGGTCATGACCCAGAGGGAATATTCCCAGTCATCCTTGGTCATGAGGGAGGTGGTATTGTGGAAAGTGTTGGAGAGGGAGTCACTTCAGTGAAAGAAGGTAAGTCATGGGTTAATTAACAATAAAATGTCTTTTACTCGCTAATTTCTTGCCTTTTATTGAAAGAACCTCCTCCTTGTGGAAGTTAAAAACAAGGAAAAGAGGATGAATTAAGTAAATATTTGTTAAGAATATGTATTTATATCTTCACACTACTGTGTCATTTACCCATTTTTCTTAATGTGTTCGTATACCTTTTTTTTACATGATTTAATCATTTAAATACTTATGCATAATATGTAATGGCTCTAGTATTCATTCAAGTGTGGAGCTTATTATGTGCAATAATTTTTTTTATTTCACATTTTTCACAAATGAGAAGGTACCATAATTTTCATCATTAGATACACCTTCACATGTACATTATCATGTGTGTTTTCTTTACTACTTTATCCTAATACTCTGGATACCAGAAAAAAAAAATACAGTAGATCAAAGAATATGGTGTTTTATTTGAGGCTCACTAAACACAACTCCTTGTCTGCATAGCCATTTCTTTTTACTTTGTACTGCGTGGAAAGTCGGTTAAATCAATCATTACAGTATCAGGGACTTGTAGTTAAAGACTCTTCTTTTATGGTTTTAAATTAGAGCTATGCTTTATTCCTTGGATCAAAGCCTCTCATATACCCCTAGTGCTGTAATATGTTTAAAAGATTTTTTCCTCCTTTTTCTTTGAAACTTTTTTGACATTGGCCATACAAGAATTTTTTTTTTTTAAATAAAGGTCATTTGGTAGAAAATATCGTATAACACTGTGCCTGGAAAAGAGAATTGGAAGCCAATGAGGAAAGGTAGATAGAAGACCCCTAATTAAGGTTATATTTAGGTTATCTGCTGAAAAAGAGTGGAAGAAAGTGCAAGTAGAAATAGGGTGTATGTAGAATGGAACATTTTAAGTGGAAAATTATGGTGCAACTGGATAGAGAAGAGCAACAAGACTGGGAAAGAAGAGTGGGGGAGGGAGTGAAGAAGATAAATGGAGGAGAAGGAAGGAGTGGGGGAAAAGAAAGATGGGTTGGAGGGAGGTAGTTTGCAAAAGAATTCCTCCACTATAATGTGCTGTATTGGAATTTACACTGAAAGAACTTGCATAATTTTGGAAGATTGGACCATATCATTTTTTCTTGCCCAATTTTTTAATGATGGCATTAACAATGTCATTTTTGAAAATTTATTTCTTTTCACAGGTGATCATGTTATTCCATTATACATACCTCAGTGTCGTGAATGCAAGTTCTGCAAGTCCCCCAAGACAAATCTGTGCAGCAAAATCAGAGATACTCAAGGCAAGGGTGTTATGCCAGATGGGACCACACGTTTTACATGTAAAGGAAAGGAAATCTACCATTTCATGGGATGCTCTACCTTTTCTCAGTACACAGTTGTTGCTGAGATTTCTGTTGCTAAGGTGAACCAGGATGATTACTTAAATTTGTATATTCTTAAAAGTGGAAGATTACAGTGCATGAATATAATTTCAGGAGAGCACAAATATTATGGTCTAATACTGACTGCTGAACTGCAGCGTCTTCCCTACTTTGCAAAGTGTATAAATCATACTTTCTGACCTTCAGAATTAAAATCCAGCGAGCCAGTTTTCCTTTCGTCCTTTTATAGATACCATCTTGTTCTCATTCAGGAGCATGGATAACAAGGACCACTCAACTACACATGTCTAATATACCTGTTTACTCTCTGCCTGCTGAGCATCAAATCCTTATTAGCCACCTTTTCTCAAACTTTTCCTTGGATGCTGAATCCTACACCATCTCCCATTCACCTTAGATATGATCATATTGGCTTACTTGGCAACTGTTAAAGAACTTTGCCCAACAAAAAATTGTATTTTCTTTTGCTAAAGCAGAAAAATTTGTCTGAACAAACATGCAAACCATTCCAACACTAATATACATCTGACTTAACATTTGTCTCAGTTTATTACATTCCAATTACTTTACGTATTCTCCATTTTTAACCTTGCTACTTCTGTCCTTCATTCTGGCTCTTTCCTCTTTCTAATGTCCTCAAATTTCTGCCTCTTTTTTTAAGTTTACTTTCAACCATATTTTTTAATGTTTTGTTACTCGTTACCATATTTACTCATTCAGGATCTTGTTTTTCTCCTGGTTATTATTTCTTCTCTGCAAAATGTCAACAGTGCCTTGCTCAATATTTTGTTTGCTTTTTTTCTCAGTTTGTTTAATATCTTTTGGGGAATTTTTACATTATATTGTAAGAATATATAAATATCTACTTACCTTTAGTCAGTACAGTATTGCATTTTAAATTTTTTCTCTTCTTTCCGTATACAATACGGTACATAACTGAAATTTATTGTATGGTCAAGGTTTCTAAGGCATTCAGTATCTTCTGTTTCTGAAAAAATATTCATTAATTATAAGTTTGTACGTATTCTGTTACAAATAAGTGTGTTGAGTATACCTGGTAAAGTGTATGGTAGTTATTATTGAAAGAATTAAGAGTAAGCTGGAGAGTATGATAGCAGATGAACAAGGAGACTTTAGGAAGGGTAGGGGATGTGTAGACCAAGTGTTTACAATGAAACGTATAGGTGAACAGTATTTAGATAAGGGTAAAGAGGTTTTTGTGGCATTTATGGATTTGGAAAAGGAGTATGACAGGGTTGATAGAAGGGGCAATGTGGCAAATGTTGCAAATATATGGAATAGGATGTAGATTATTGAAAGCAGTGAAGAGTTTTTACAAGGACAGAAGAGAAGTTGCAGAGGTTGATGGTTGAGTTTGGTAGGGTATGTAAGAGAAAGAAATTAATAGGGAATATAGGAAAGAGTAAGGTGATGAGGTTAACAAAAACATTAAGTAACAAAAGATTGGAAGGAGAGAGTATGGAGGTGAATGTATTCAGATATTTGGGAGTGGATGTGTCAGCAGATGGGTCTATGAAAGATGAGGTGAATCATAAAATTGACGAAGGGAAAAAAGTGAGTGGTACACTGAGGGGTCTGTGGAAACAAAGAACTTTGTCCATGGAAGCAAAGAGGGGAATGTATGAGAGTATAGTTATATCAGTGCTCTTGTATGGGTGTGAGGCATGGGTTGAATGTTGCAAAAGGGAGGGGCCCTGGAGGCAGTGGAGATGTCTTTCCCCTGGGGGCAATGTGTGGTGGAATATAATGCAAAAATTTATGTAGTTTTGGAAAAAAATTAGGGGGGAGGTGGGGATTCCCAAAAATATTGGTTTAGAAAGACACTAAGCAAACCTATAACAATTTTTTTAAAAAAAGTTTCGGTCCGGGGCCCTTGTCACTTCTAAATACAGAGTAAAAGCATTATTAGGGGAAGTGAGATTGACCACTGACCTGAGGAATGTCATAAAAACATAAGATGGAGGAACACTTAAAGGGCCACTGGCCCATGCGGGGAGGTCCTTATCAAAAAACCTTGCCTATGATGAGGACCAGTAGACATAAATCTGTGCCCTGTGTTGTTGGTTGGTGCTGCTTAATATCATTATCCAATTTTTTTAAAATTTTTGTAGTTTTCCAGTGTTGGTTCTATAGGTCGGTGACGTGTTAGTGAGGCTTCTAGGCACCTGGCGTCGAGGTCGGTTTCGGTGGAACGAGTTGTGCCCCTTTCCAGTTCATCAAATCCCCCGTGAGTCTCGTGAGGACAAGGCTCCCTTACATGTCTCTGTTAAGGATTTCATGCTCCTTGGGGGCGGACTGAAAGATCCTGCCTGTCTCCCCTACAAATTTCGGGGGACAAACCCACAGGGATAGTGTAACCCCTGCTTAGAAGTTAGGGGTGGGGGGGCCCTGCGTTAGATGAGGTTTTGATAGGGGTTTTTTATGGTGGAAACGTTGATGTTCTCATAGCAAGTGCCCGGCGAGTTTTTGGGAAACACGCCACAGGGGAGTACTATGAATGTTTGGGGGGCTGTTCCATGGCGGTTTTTGAAGGGAACTTGTGCCTTGATCTGAATTCGGATGAAGAAAGATGGGAACTGAAGATGAAAAGGCTTGTTTTATTAAGTGCTTTTTCTTCTAGAAAAAAAGGGCGGGGAGATGCAAAGAGCTCTCAAGAAGAAACCAAAAGAGGACCCCCTTATGGGGGGTTTTTGGGGTTAAAAAAATGAAAGATCTTTCCCTTGTTGTAGGTTTTCTATACACTTTGAAGAAAAAGTTTGTCACTGTGGGGAGTCTGCAATAGAACGTCGAGGAAAGGAATTTTTGCCACATTTTCGATTTCAAGTGAAACTTTATTAGGGTTAAACTCATTATTTTGTTGGAAGGGCCTGGATATTGAGACGTCTTGGATAGAAAACCATATAAATCAAGTATCTTACCCCGGTAACGGTGTTGGGAATGAGGGTGCTGAATTTCTCTGCCCCAATTTTTCGAAGAGGTGGCAAGCACAGCACAAACGGGCTGCCCATTCCCATCCCAAAGATGTTTGTAACAGTTGTCCTGATACTTGAAGAAGTTGAAATTAACACACAGTTCCACTAGATCATGAAATCTAAAGAGGTAAAGGGAGGCGTGTTTTTCAGGAGCCTCTGTTAAAATTTTTATTGCACGTCGTAGGAACGTTGGTAAAGAGGGCTGGACTCGAAGGAACCCGTTTTTTTTTTTGACTTCGGTTGAAATTCGGGAGAGAAGGCACCTGAATTTTTTGAGGTGGGTTGACTGTAGTGCCCAAAAGCGCTAAAAGGGTTTTTGGCAAGGGGGGCTAGTCTGTGTGGGCACCCCTATGCCCAAATGGATGGGGCCGTGGGGGTTTCCAGGTTTGTGTGTTTTAGGAAGCCATACAGCGTGCTGGTTTTTCGGGACCTGGTAAAAGTTTAAGTAGTTTTTTGCTTGTTCGATTTTCGTAAGATGCTCGAGCCTTTTAAAGGGAAAGTTGGTATTTTGAAGTGCACTGATTCTGATACAGGCTGGATGTGTTCATCGTTGAGAAGATTTAAGACTTTATTGTTGTAGTCGCAGTTTGATAACACCACACCACCTCCTTTTTCAGGGGGTTGGTAATGCGTACATCGTTTTGGCCAAGTCCTGAGTGTTTGGGATGTATCTTCTGGGAATGCCCGGGTCGGGTTTTCAGTACTGCAGATGATGTTTTCCTTTGGACAAAGCCCTTGAAACCGGAGCCCCAAAAAGGTTGGTTCTTTTTTCCCATATCCACCAGTAATGTTTCTTGTTGATGCCAGTATTAAACTGAGCCAAAGGGTGGGGCTTCTTCTCGGGACGGTTAGGGGTATAGGAAGATAATTATTTATGATTTCGGGTCGCCCATTTCGCTCCTTTTGCTGTGGAACCAGGTCTTTAGTTTTGGGGATGCTTCAATTTCTGTTGGAGTTGGCAGTGGTAATTTGGGGTTGAGTAAAAATTCGCAGCCTTCTGTCAGGAGAGGAAGTGAAGCACAATCTGAGCGGCACGTAATGGGGCCCCCTCCTTCTGAGCTTCGCAACGATGCCAACACATACCACCTTATCAGAATCATCACTTCAAAGTACCCAACTTCCTTCAAAAGGCTCGTAACATCTTACGAAAATAGAACAAGGAAAAAAACTACTAAATTTTACCAGGCAAACCGAAACCAGACGCCGAGGGCCTTCCTAAGACAAAAACCTCACCCCAACGGGCCCATCATTCGGGGCATAGGATGCCCACACAGACTAGCCGGCCACCTTGCCCAAAAACCTTTCAGGCTTCTGGCCTATCCCAAGCCCACCCCCAAATTCAGGTGACCCCTTCCCAATTTCCAAACCCGAATGGCAAAAACAAAAGCTGGGCTTCCTTCGATTTTCACAGCCCCTTTACCCAACGTTCCTACTGACGCTCAATCAACATTTTGAGACAGGGCTCCTGAAAACCACGACCCTCCCTTTACCCTTCTAGATTTATCGATCTGTGGAAAAAGTGGTTTTTAATTTTTAACTTCTTCAAGTATCAGGACAACTGTTAAAAAATGCTTTGGGGTGGCAAAAGGGCAGCCCGCTCAGGCTGTGCTTTCCAACCTTTTTCAGGAAAATTGGAACAGAAAACAGCACCCCCAAATTTCCCAAAACCGTTACCTGGCTAAGATATTGATGATATATTGGTTTTCTATCCAAGACGTCCAATATCCGGCCCTTCTCAACAAGATCAATGCAGTTGAACCAAAATAAAGTTTACCTTTTAACTCGAAAATGATGGCAAACTTCCTTTCCCCGAGTTCTACGTGGGGAGTCTCCCGACATGACAAAATTCTCTTCAAAATGTATAGAAAACCTCCCAAAAAGGACATCTATACACTTTTATTCACACCAAGAACCCACTAAGAGAGGACCTATTTGGTTCTTCTTGAGACTTTCCTCTCCACCTTGTTTTCTAAAGAAGAAGCATTACATAACCAAGCCTTTTTAATTTCTTCCCTCTTTCTTCATCCGGATTGCAGACTCAAGGGACAACTATCCTCAAAAAAACCCCCCATAACAGCCCCCAAACATTCAAGTACCCCATGTGGCATGGGTTTCCACGAAAACTCCCGGGCACTTTCATGAGTAACTCAACGTTTCCCCCCTAAACAATCCTCTTCAAAGACCTCACTACTAAACGCGCCCCACACCTCTAACTTCACAGCAGGCTCTACACTTCCCCCGTGGGTTTTGTCCCAAGAAATATTAGGCGAGACAGGCAAAGATCTTTCAGTCCGCCTGAAGAGCTCGAAAGCCTAACGAGACGATGTAAGGTACCCTTGTCCTCCACGAGACTCCACGGGGCATTTGATGAAATGGAACGGGCAAAACCCTTCTCACCGAACCAGACCTCAAACCCGACGGTGCCTAGAAGCCTCACAATCAGTCACCCACACTATGAACCAACATGGGAAAATAAAAATTTCAAAAACATTGGGGAACATGATACTTAAGCAGCACCCAACCCAACAACACAGGGGTCCATGATTTTATCGTCTACTGGGCCTCATCATTGGGAGAGGTTGTTTTGAAAGGGCCGCCCCGCAGGGCCATAGGCCCCCACAGTGTTTCCTCCATTCTTTTGTTCTTTGACATTCCTCAGGTCACGTGCGTCAAACTCATCCCGCCTATATTTAAAAAGTCTTTCTACCCCGTTTTAGAATAAACAAGGCCCCCGGACCCAAACGTTTTTTTTTAATAAAAGTTTTTAGTGTTTGCTTACTGTTTTCTAAACCAAAATTTCGGTATTTTTTACCAAGGTTTTTACCACCAAAACTTTACCAGAGGGCTGAGGGGGGTTGTTGAGGTGGTTTGGATATGTGAGAGAGGAACAAAATAGAAGACTTTGAGAGTGTTAATCTGTGTGGGGGGAAAGCGGGGGACAGGTTTTCCTAGGAAAGGTTTTATTTTGGGGGGGGGAAAGGAGGTTTTGGTGCAAGGGGCTTGGACTTTCCCGCAAGCATGTTGAGCATGTAGATAGGATGAATGGAGACGAATGGCTTTTAGGACTTTACATGCTGTTGGGGGGTGAGCAAAGGGAAAATTTTATAAGGGATTCGGGAAACCCGGGTGGGACTCGGTCCTGAAGATGGGAATACAGTGCCCCGCACTCTGAAGGAGGAAATTTTAATGTTGCAGTTTTTAAACTGAAGGAAGTCACCTCGGCAAGACGATGGGGGTGAATGATAAAGTTTTTCTTTTTGGGGGGACCCTACCTTGGGGGGGAAATGGGGAATGTGTTAATAATAATAAAAAAAAATTCTGAATCTCTTTTTCATACCAACAGGTCATGACCGCTCCTCTTTAAAGGTTTGTTTGCTGGGCGTGGGCTGACACAGGCTATGGTGGGAGCTCTTAACAATGCTAAGGTAACCAAACTGTTAACTTGTTGCCCTAAAATTTTCAGAGGGGTGCAAAACTTGAAAAAGTAAATTTTTAAATATGGAAATTTCTTTTTTTGTTTAATGTAAATTTAAAAAGGGGTTATTTCCTTTTTAGAGTGTAATTTTTCATTTGTCTTGTAAACCATTTCTGAGATAGATTTATTATGCATTTTTTTACAATTTACTTTCACCATCAATGCAATTTTAACGATGTAGCACTTAGTGTATGAATATCCCGTGGGGTAGGCCTAAAATACTTTCTTTATTTTGTTTGCTATTTTTTTAATGTTTTTAGCCTTAGGTATCCAGTGTATTGTTTTAATTGAAAAAGATTTACATTTTTAAGTTAATGTCCCCTTCCCATTTAAAGTGAAGGGAAATTGGGTTTTTAAAAAAGCATTTTAAAAATCATGGACCCCCCGCAAACATCACCTCCCAATCGACCCAATTATTAAGTGTTTTTTAGTAAGGCGTTTGTACTGTTGTTTGGGGGGGCTAAATGGACTAATCTACTTCACAATATTCCTTAAGGGAACAAATTCAGTCATACGGGGCACCTAACAACTTCGGAATGAAAAAAAAAGTTTTAAACCGGGGGGGCCATGTATAAATTTTAAGCTGTTAAACAGATAAAAAAAGGTGGGCCCCACTTATAAAAAGGCTGGGTTTGATTCTGGGGGTACTGCCATAAAGCAGAAATTGCTGTAAAGTGAAAAGACTTTTTTTTTTTTTACTTTCCAATGCATATAAAAATCTGATAACATGTTTACACAATCATATATGAAATGAGCAATAGAGCTATGACTAAAAAAAAAATGCACACGCAGTACACATTACTTGCCTTAAAATATTTTCATCCTTAGCTTAGTAGTGGTGAATACCTTTATTGTAGGAAGTCTGAATAAATGAAGAATGGGTATAATTGAAAATCACTGCATTAGTAAAGCAGTGTAAAGTGTGGCCTGCCTGTATTGACAAATAAATTCTTACAGCATATCTGCATTGCATTCTTACAGGTGGAACCTGGATCAGTATGTGCTATCTTTGGCCTTGGTGCTGTTGGCTTGGCTGTTGCAATGGGCTGTAGGGAACGAGGTGCAAAACGCATCATCGGAATTGATTTGAATCCAAATAAGTTTGAAATTGGTAAGTGTTGTGCTCTTTTCTTCCTTTTTATCTATATTTGCAGGAATGTGCATACTGACGTATATTAAATCAGTTTTTTTTAATTGAATTTTTCTTGTTTTTCAGCAAAGCCTTTTGGTTGTACAGAATTTTTAAACCCAAATGACCACTCCAAACCCATTCAAGAGGTTCTCATTAACATGACAGATGGTGGATGTGATTACACTTTTGAGTGTATTGGTAATGTGAATGTCATGCGTGCTGCCTTGGAGGCATGCCACAAAGGGTGGGGTCAGAGTGTGATTATTGGTGTAGCAGCTGCAGGAAAGGAAATATCTACTAGACCATTCCAGCTGGTAACTGGAAGGGTCTGGAAAGGAACAGCTTTTGGAGGTATGATTTTGAATGTAATATCAAAGTCACTAAGTTTATTGATTGAATTTATAGTTTTTTTTTTTTTTTTTAATACACTATCTCCTACCAAGGTAGGGTGACATGTCAAAGAAATAATTTCTATATCAATCATTGTATTGCCTGAAGGGTACCAATACAAGAAGTGATTTGCAGTTTTATATGCATCTCTTGTATAAATATGTAGTAGAGATAAGTAATTGACATGATGAGAATTTGGAATGTAGTAATTAAAAGGCAATGTGGTTACCAAAAGTATTAATTCAGAGGGGTGAGGAGACATTAAAGTGGTTTAGGCATGCAGAGGGAAGTTGAAAGAGAGGGTGTGTAAATCCTGGGTGGAAGGTCAGAGGGATAGGGGTTGCCCCAGAAATGGTTGGAGGGACAGAGTAAAAAAACTTCGAGTATCCAGCAGGTTTATATAATGATATTTTAATAGATGTGCTGTTGGAATACGAGCAAGGTAACTTTTATTAAGGGATTCAAGGAAACCAATTGGCCAGCCTAGCATCCTGGAGAGATAGAGGACAGTGGAGATGTTGCAGTCAGATTGATGCCGGCATATTTCTGAAAAGCAGTAATAGTGAATGGTGAAAATGTTTTCCTCGGGTCATCCTGCCATCGTAGAAAAATCCTCTTCAAGGGGGCTCCTTGGCGTGGTGAAGAGGCTCTTGGTCTGAGGAATTAGACCTGTTGGTCTACTTCCTCAGACCGAACCTAATTACCCCCCCAATCCCCCGTTCCCTATCCCATCCTCCCCTTTTTCCTTTCCTTTTTTTTTTTCCCCACAGGCACGCTAGTTCCTAGGTAGGAGAAAGGGTACCGGGTCCATCCCATTCCGTAATATTCTGGCGGTGGCGTAGTTGCCGTGGAATCTGGATTGCCTGGGATGTTCCTGATCTCCTCCGGTATCCCAGAGGGTGGGCTTTGGGTGTCTCTCGGGCGACGTGGTGTAATCTAGAAGCCACCTTTCGGATTCCGGGGGTGGTGGCCGAAGGAGGTATGCTTTGGGCGGATTTCCGGCCGCCCTCTCTTTTGTCCACCGAGGTAGCTCGGCAGATGTGAGGTTGCTATCCCGGATTGCCGGTTTACCTGGCATATGGGTAGGGTATGGCACGGGTTCCATGCTGCATCTGCGCTGCTTGCGGTGCTGAGGTCCTCTTGGGCGCGGAGGGAGATTTCTGGCCTTTCATTCCTCCTAGGAACTATCCCTCCTGCCCCCCCCTTTTTTTTATTCTTTTTATGATTTTCTTTTCTTTCCTTTTTTTTCTTAAAAACAAAAAGAAAGAAGTAACCTAACCATGGCAGCCCTAGTCCATGAACCTGCTCGCCCCCAGGCCCTTCTTGATACCGCACCCCGTTCTGACCCCGCCTCGTCTTTGGACCACTCTTCGGACATTCCTCTTGCCGGTGCTGTTTCCTCACCCGCTTCAGGTACTGAGGCCTCGACTGACTCCTTCGATTTATCTGACCTTCGCTCCCTCTGACTATGCTTCCGGCCTCTCCCTCTACGGTGCGGCAATTTTTGAATCGCCGGCCCATTCCACGTCGGACCAACTCTGGTCCCACGCCTAAACGACAACGACAATTACCTGCTGATGATACTTCTCCACCTTCTCGTTCTTCTCAGAAAAGATCAACACGTCCTTCACTACCTTTCCACGCTGTTTCAGACTGCACAATGGACTAAATTCTTCACTTTACGACCGACTTCCTCTACTGCCTATCTTTCTGACCACAGTATTGGCAAGCACTCCTACGCCATGTTGGTAAAGATATTTTCTTTTCATGCTCTTAAGAGCGGTACGCGCATTGTCACCGTACAGAATGCTACCCAGGCTCATGAGCTTTCTCGTCTTTCCCATATCGATACTGTTCCTGTAACTATTGAAAAGCATCATTCCCTCAATCTTGTAGTGGTACCGTCATTCTGCCCCATACCATAGTTCAACAAAATTTCCAGACATGTGGCACTGACATTCTTGAACAGCTGGAACTCCAAGATCTCCCAATCCTCAGGTAGACACTTACGTTCTTCCTGCCGCGGGCGGAGACGATACCCTAGCAATGTGGCTCGTTTAACTTTTGACAGCCTGAGCTCCCATCCTCAGTTTATGTAGCAGGACATCGGTTACAAGTTCGAAGGTGATCCTACAACCGCAACAGTGTAGAAATTGCTGGCGATTTGGCCATCCAGCGAAATATTGCAGATCTATCGCCGAATGCCCAGTCTGTGGTGCCGATGACCATTCTAATACGTCCTGCAATCGACCTCCCTCTTGCCTTATTGTCATGAGGCTCACCCTTTGTACTCTCGCCGTTGTCAAGTCTACTTAAACGAGCGGGAAATCCGTTACCTCAAAGAGGCAGAAGGTCTCCCTTATGCCATGGCAGTTTCTCATCTCCGCCTCCAAGGAGACACCTCGTGTTTCTTATTTCCGTGTTTCAAAATGTCCCCCCACTCCTGGTATCCCATCTTCTGCACCCACCTCTGTAGTTACCTCTCCCATAGTCACTCCTGTATCTAATTCTTTTGCTGTCCTCAGCTCTGACGTCCCTACTTCAACGTCTCAGTCTGATCTTGCTTCTTCATGTTCTCTCACAAGCCTCAGTAGCGACGAGATCTCGTATGACACTTCCTCCCAATTGTCCCTCTACTTCTCAAAAGTCAAAAAAAGGTCTGTTAACACCTCCTACCCATCTTCCACCTCCTCATTTTCCCTTCCCTGTCTCTGTACCTGGTTCTCCCCCTCTCACTGGCTCTATTACAAGTGTAGAGGTTCACCCTCCTCCTCGTACTGTACCTTCCTCCCCTGTTCCCTCCCAAGTTTCTTCCTCTTCTGCCACCTCCCAGGTTTCTGCCTCTTCTGTCCCCTTCCACGCTTCTCCAGTTCCCTCCACCCTTCCGTCCCCCCCTACCTTGGTACAGTCCATTACAGTTCCAATCTTTACTCATCCTCCCCCTACCATTTCCAATATTGTCTCCCATACGATGTCTTTGAATACTGAAACACTTGAAGCAATCTCTGAATATATTGCAGAGACCAAACCATCAATGGACACTGATCCACCCTCCGCTCCTTCTCTCTCCTCTACTCCATCTGCGCAACTCCTTTCTTCACAGCGCACCGTTCCTTCGCTGCTTGAACGTTTTCCACTGCCTCCGCATGTGGACTTTTCTAACCCCTCTAGTCCGTAGGAACCTTTACCTGCGGATTTCAGGTATCTTTATCATTGCCAATCATGGCCTATTTACAGTGGAACATACGCTGCCTCAGGGGTAATTGGGGTGAGCTTCAGATGTTACTCTCCCAGTTTTCCCCTGTTGGTGTTTGCTTACAGGAACCAAAATTACACTCTGCTGTTATCTCTCCCATCTCAGGCTATAATTTATTGTATTCTTCAAATCCTTTTCCTGATGGGACCTTGAATGAAAGTGCCCTTCTTCTACGCACTGATATTCCGTACCATCAGCTATTTGTTCGTACTTCACTGCATTACACAGCAGCCCGTATCCACTTGCATAGGTGGTATACGCTCTGTTCTTTATATCTCTCTCCTTCTCGGGCATTATCTATTCCGGATATTGCCTTTCTTGTTTCGTCATTACCACCACTGATTCTGTTACTTGGTGATTTTAATGCCCACCATTTCCTCTGGGGGGGTCTCACTGTGATTCCCGTGGCATTCAGTTAGAGGCTTTTCTTGCCACCCACCCCCTCCATGTTTTAAATACAGGTACTCACACCCATTTTGATCCTCGGACTCACACTCTCTCTTGCATCGATCTCTCAGTCTGCTCTTCCTCCGCCGCATTAGACTTCACTTGGTCTGTTCTTTTGGACTTACATGACAGCGATCATTTCCCAATCATTCTTACTTCCCCTTCATATTCACCACCTCTTCGCATCCCATGCTGGCAATTTGATCAGGCAAATTGGAACCTTTACTCACACCTAACTGTTTTTAGAGAGGTTCCTTCTTCGTCCTCCATCGATGAGCTTTTACACCTCTTCTCGTCCTCCGTTTTAACCGCAGCTTCTCATTCTATACCCCAAAACTTCGGGCAGGCATTCTCAGAAATGCGTGCCTTGGTGGTCTCCTGCTTGTGCTCGTGCAGTACGTTTGAAACGCGCTGCATGGGGCAGGTACCGGTACAATAGAACCACAGAGAGACTTTGATTTTAAACAGAAGCGTGCGATCGCTCGCCGTGTCATCCGTGATGCTAAACGCACTTGCTGGCGAGATTATGTCTCCACCATCACCTCTGCTTCCTCTATGAGTGCAGTCTGGAAAAAAGTACGAAAACTGAGTGGTAAATATTCTCCTGACCCAGCTCCTGTTCTGCGGGTTGCCGGTGTTGATATAGCAAACCCACTAGATGTTGCCAATGAAATTAGCAATCATCTGGTCCGTATTTCTCAGGGACTCCATCTATGCCCCTCATTTCTTTCCTCAAAGTCTGCCAGAGAGTTAGCACCCTTGGACTTTTCTTCTCTCAGAGAAGAACGCCTTTTACACTTCAAGAACTGGAGGCGACACCCTCAGCTTGCCGATCATCGGCAGCTGGGCCCGACGACATTCATATTCGTATGCTACAACATTTACATCAGTCAGCCCTTGCAGTCCTATTACGCCTTTACAATCTTATTTGGTCACAAGGAGTTCTTCCACAGCTGTGGAAATCCGCCATTGTTCTCCCTTTCCGCAAACCAGGCACTACGTGACATGAAACCTCCCACTATCGTCCTATTGCTCTTACCAGTGCAGTTTGCAAAGTGATGGAACGCCTAGTAAATAGACGTTTAGTGTGGTATTTAGAGACACACAACAGTCTCTCCACTCGTCAATATGGCTTTCGTAAGGGACGTTCTACCATAGACCCCTTACTACGCTTGGATACGTATGTTCGTAATGCCTTTGCGAATAACAACTCAGTTATTGCCATATTTTTTGACCTTGAGAAGGCATATGACACAACTTGGAGGTATAATATTTTAGCCCAAGCCCACTCCTTAGGCCTTCGAGGCAATCTACCATCCTTCCTTAAGAACTTTTTAACTGACAGGCATTTCCGTGTTCGGGTTAATAATGTGCTCTCCCCAGACTTTATCCAAGCTGAAGGGGTCCCCCAGGGATGTGTTCTGAGCACAACACTTTTTCTCCTTGCTATTAATGATTTGGCCTCTAGTCTTCCATCAAATATTTGGTCATCACTCTATGTTGATGACTTCGCTATTGCCTGTGCAGGCGCTGACTGTCACCTTATTACAGTTTCTCTCCAGCATGTAGTCGACCGTGTTTCCAATTGGGCCACCACACGTGGGTTTAAATTTTCCAGCACTAAAACCCACCAAATTACTTTCACTAGACGCTCTGTCATCTTCGATCATCCTTTGTACCTCTATGGCTCCCGTATCCCTGAACGTGATACAGTCAAGTTTCTGGGCCTCCTCTTTGATCGTAGGTTATCCTGGAAACCTCACATTACCTCTCTGAAGGCAACTTGCCACAGCCGGCTGAACCTTCTTAAAACCCTTGCTCATCTTTCAGGGGGAGCTGATCGTCGAACCTCCTTCACCTACATTCCACCCTTATTTATCAAAATTTTGATTATGGTGACCAGATCTATTCAGCGGCATCTCCTGCTACTCTCTCTAGCCTTAACCCCATTCATCACCAAGGATTACGTTTATGCCTTGGTGCTTTTCACTCTTCCCCTGTCGAGAGCCTCTATGCAGAAGCGAACGTTCCATCCTTATCCGATCGCCGTGATGCCCTTTTGCCTTCGCTACTATGTACGCTCTCATGATCTCCGCAATCCTTCCATTTATAGAATGGTCACTGATATTAATAGACATTCTTTATTTGTTCGCCGCCCCTGTTTACTCCGTCCCTTCTCTCTTCGCCTTCATTCGCTCTTGTCTTCTCTTCAATTACCACCTTTCTATGTACATGTAGCATCTCACTTTTCCCTACCCCCCTGGGAAGTTCCAGCTGTTCGAGTCTGTTCTTTCTCTGTCCCTTGCTCGAAAGCCCAACTGTCTACGGTCGCTTCCCGCTCTCTTTTTCTTGACCACTTTCACTCTCATTCTCATGCCATTGCTGTGTACACAGATGGCTCTAAGTCTTCTGACGGCATAGGATTCGCAGCAGTGTTTCCGGACAGCGTCGTACAAGGGCATTTACTATCTTCGGCTAGTATTTTTACTGCTGAATTGTACGCCATCCTTACAGCACTTATCCGTATTGCATCTATGCCTGTGTCATCATTTGTGTTTGTCTCAGACTCCCTTAGTGCTTTACAGGCTATACAGAAATTTGATACACCTCACCCCTTAGTCCTCCGTATCCAACTTTGGCTACGCCGCATCTTTACCAAGCATAAAGATAATTGTTTTTTGTTGGGTCCCTGGTCATGTTGACGTACAGGGCAATGAACAGGCAGACACTGCTGCGCGGTCAGCAGTACATGACCTACCAGTTTCATGTAGAGGTATTCCATTTACGGACTATTTTGCTGCAATATCTTCCCAACTTCACACCCGTTGGCAACAACGTTTGTCTACTATGCTCGGCAACAAACTTCAATCTATTAAACCGAGTATAGGTTACTGGCCGTCTTCTTATCACCAGTGTCGAGGTTGGGAGACTACTCTCTCCCGTCTTCGCATTGGCCATACTCGTCTTACTCATGGATATCTCATGGAGAGGCGCCCTGCTCCTCTCTGTGAGAATTGCCAAGTTCCATTATCAGTCAGCCACATTCTGTTGGACTGCCAACTTTATCAACGAGCACGCAGAATTTACCTCCGTCGTCGTCTTTGCTCTGCTGCTCTCTCTTTACCTTCCCTTCTCGCTGATGGACCCACCTTTCATCCAGACTCTCTCATTGACTTTTTGACAACAACTGACTTCACAAATTCTGATACCTTCAGCCCTTTCTACTTCAATCTCTTGCTACCCTCTACCCCCGTACGATCCCCTGCCCCGCTGTTTTCTGTAACCTACTGATCATCCCTCCTCCCTTCTGCCATCCAATACCCTTGCTTCCTTCCCTACCCTGCAGCGCTGTATAGCCCTTGTGGCTTAGCGTTTCTTTTTGATTATAATAATAATAATGGTAGAAAAATGGCTATTGAGTTAAAAAAAAAATAGTGGGAGGTATGTGCCAAGTTTAAGTAAAGTATTAGTCTTGGGTAATTTTTGTTCTTAGACTGCATTGACTTTGGGTCTGCTACTTGCTTATCTATTCATATGATCTTGCACTAATTTCTTGTTCATTTGTATATACTTAATGCATGGAACAACTACAGTATTTGCAGGTAATTGGTGGAAATTTTCTACTTAAGTTAGGTTCCTTGATGCCAGTGAGGGGCTTGATTCAAGGACCTTGTCTCCTTCCTTAATCAAACTTAAATGCCTTGCATTCCCCAGAGCTGTATGACTCCAATGGGTGTAGTACTTTCCCCCTGATTCAGTAAAATGGTGGAGATTTTACTGATGGCCATGTTGCCCTCTAACACAGTTCCTAGAAATAATAAGACAAACATATACAGTAGATAGTTTTATCCAGAAAACAACACACGGTTGAAAACTTAACCTGAACTTTAAGGGTAATAACTTTATCAAATTGAGAGATAGGTAATTGATAGAAATAGAGAAATAAATTTCTGTAATTAGCTTCATTCATTTTGTTTACCTATAAGGCAGTTGTAACTGCACTAATTTTAATTTTGATGAAAATGATATTAAATACTGACAGGTTGGCGAGTAAGACACATGTGCAGTAGGTGGGTATCTTTAATGTTGAAGCATTATGCATATTTGGTAGTCTTCGTCAGTCAGATACAGAGGAGAATGTATTTTAGGTAGCATAGGCAACACAATTTTAATTTTACTTTTGTAGTAAAGATTAAGGCAGTTTGCTTTGTTAATGTTGATTCTTTATTTTCATAGTTATTTTCTTCAGTACTGAAATATTTTAGTATATTGTATAAGAATAAAATTATACATTTTTGTGAATCAAAACTAATATGATAATCCTGTTTCTGGTTTTAGGCTGGAAGTCTCGTGATAGTGTGCCGGTGCTTGTTGAAGACTACATGAACAAGAAAATAATGATTGATGAGTTTATCACTTACACAAAACCTCTTGATGAAATCAACACTGCTTTTGAACTGATGCACCAGGGCAAGGCTCTCCGTAGTGTTGTACTTCTGGAGTAATGAGTACGAACAAAAGTGAAGTTTAGCCATGTGAGGGCAATACATGCATAACTTTATAAGACTGAGATGTTGAAAATTGAGAGAACCCTTTCAGTATGCATTATATGTAATGTTCCAGCTGTTTACAAAAAGCATATAAAATATAGCAATTGTGATTTTGTTTTTATTCCTTTTTTAAATAATGAAAATTGAGTTTTTATGTATCCCCAAAAGGGGAAGGAGACTTAAGTGGTTGCCAGAATTTTAGTCTTCCAACTTAGTTTTTCTTTCACTTATAACTCTAGGCCTTGTCCAATTGGCTTCAAATTTTCAATGCTTGTGTAGGGTAACAAGGGCTGGATTCTTGTAACAACTGGCATGTGCCTTATGCCCGAAGTGTTTGAACCTATTTCCAGCATCCTGCAATAGCGCTAATAATTTATGGAACCATTGGCAACAACGCTGGTCTGAGCCAATTCATAAACTACATTCTATCAAGCCGTGTTTGGATTTCTGGCCTTCTTATTGATTTTGTGATATCGGGCAACATGTCTCACGGGTATCTCGTGGAAAGGTGCCCAGTGCCACTGAGAATTGTCAGGTCCCAATTTCAGTTAGTCATATTCTATTAGACTGTCCTGTCTACTAATGGGTACACAGAATTTACATCCGACGTCACCACTCTACTGCCCTTTATCTCCCCTCTTCACTGATGGCCTCACCTTTGACAATGACTGTCAGAAACGGGTTTATTACACCAACTTTGATTTTATGTACTTCCTCTAGTATTCCTCACCACCCTTACTAACTCTACCTCTTGTTACTCTTCACCCTTGCTGGTCTCTGATCAAGCATATTACACCTTTAGCACCCTACCCAACAGTGGTGTATGAACCCTTATGGGTTAAACAGTTATGATTATAATACAATAATTTTCAAAGCCCTTTGCAGTGTAGCTTCAGGCATTGGAAAAAAGGTATACCTCTTTAATTTAATGATAGCAGAGCTGTATAACCCTTGTGGGTTTAGCACTTATATGATTATAATAATGATGGTCACCCTGCCTTGGTGGGAGATGGCCAATTTGTTGAAAAAAAAAAAAATGATGGCTGTGAAGTTCGTGTGTAGGTGTACATGGTCGTTTGTGCAAAATACCCACTTAGGTAAGTTCCTTGATGCTAAAGAGAGGCTCTTGTTCCAAGGGATCAAACCTAAATGCTTCCCATTGAGGTGCTATATGAACCCTGTGGGTTTAATGCACTCCATGAATGTAATGTGTGAAACAAATTTTCGTTCCTGTTATGTAACATTTTAGTCTACAGCTTATAAATGGCTAATTAGAGGCTGATGTCTCCTCAGGGAAGGTTCTTTGATGCTGGTGAGGGGCTCTTGATCTAGGGAATTGGATCTGTGTTCCAGTTGCCTGAATGCCTTCCATACCCCCTTAGGCAGTTTAAGACCCAAAAGAGTTCAGTGCTTTTCTCCTCTATGAATGTAAAAAAAAAAAAAATACATAGCTGGTGTTCCAGAAAGCAAAATTCACGTTAGTAGGCTTCACAGAACCCAGTTTGCTAATTTCATGAAACAAATACCCCTCAAAGGTTCCTTGATGCCTGATAGGGGCTCTTGATCCAAGAAACTGAACCAGAGTTCCCATTCCTTGAATCAAACCTGACTACTTCCTGTTCCCTAGATGCTACATGACCCACTCTCGCTTGTGTGATCTGGTATATTAAATCTTTTGCATGCTGTATGATCATTATGAGTTTGGGAGTTTTATGATTATAATATCTTAAGCACAATCTACCCTGCAGCCTTGTGGATTTAGCACTTAGTTTTAATTGTAGTAATAAATACAATCCCTACTCCTCGAGGGAGGTTCCTAGATGCTGATAAAGGGCTTTTGATTTAAAATTTGACGTCTGCTCCAGTTTCTCTAATCGCGTTTGAAATCTTTCTATTCTTCAAAGTGTTGTATGACCCATATGGGTTTAGTGTCCCCCATGAATGTAATATATGACCAATGAGTTCAGCACTCCCCTCTAAATGTGATAGTAGACAATAGTGATATAAATTTTCATTCAATAACGGAATGCCTCGTCAGCTTCACAATCTTAACGCTGATTGATCGTAAGGAAGACATTCAATAAGTTTAAATTAGGTGCAAATTTGAAATTTTAAAGAGTAACAACGTGGAATCGTTGGATTCAGATCAATTATTGGAGAATACATTTTCTAATAGGCTTTATTAAAGGAAAGCTCAGCTTTCACTTTCAGCTATAAATTTTAACAGAGCTGTATGACCCTTGTGGGTTTACTTTCCTTTTTAAAGCTCATATACAGACTACGATTTTATATTTTAGCCCATTTACCAGCTAAGAGGTGTTATCCTATCTCAGGCTCTTTTATAGGCTAACAACCCTTTCGAGATTAGCGCTTAGCTATGTAATAATACAGGCTAAGAGATGTTATCCTATCTTAGTTCACCTACAGTTTAGCTATCATATCTCAGTTCATTTGTAGGCTAACCCTCTCACCCCGCCAGGTCTGTTATAGATCTCTGTTCATTTCTGAAATTCTCGTGGCCGTTGAGATTTTGATAACCACTATGATGACAAATAATACAAAAAAGTATTTCAATCATGAGTTTCTGTCTCCATGTGGATTATTAATGAGCACTCAGGTACCTACTTATTCTAAGTGAACAGGTGTAAAGAAAGATGCCCAACGTTTTCACCCCTGCCGGGGGTCATACCACGGACACTCACTACGTCAGCTGAGTGCGCTATCAACCGAGCCACATTGGCACACACTCTCTAAAATATATTAGGTAAATCTGTTGAGACAGAAAAAAACAGCGTGAAACTGGATACAGAACGTTATGATTCTAGAAGGCGTCTCCGGTAGATTCAAGAGTTTTGAATACTCCAAGTTACAAATTTCTAGATTTCATTCGTGTAAGTTTAATTAGGTACATTACGCAATTTTAGGTGATTATAATTGTGTTACATAACGCGTAGATTATTCAGGATAACCCAAGAAGTCTAAGTGTCTTATTTCCATCAATGTCCTTGTATCATCTGTTAAATACAGTTATCTCCCTGATACACCCCGTCAACTAACTACACGAATACCACCTGGTGGTTCACACTTACACTCACTCACTCATTTGACCATAAACAGAAATATTAATCTCAGTCTTAAAATAATGAATCCTGTGATACTCCAATACTGAAACTATGTACTGTGCCAAAACAAAAGCATTCACATTGCTAAACTCACAAACTAGTATTTAGTCACTTAGCCATAATACCAACTTACCTCATAATTTGTAATATTTTACAATTAAGAATAAAACTAAGTATGCCCGAAATGCCTAGCCATGCTAAGCGTTCTAGTGGTACACTCTGTAATCACAATTTTACTACATGTAAACCAAACAATGACCAAATTTCTGTAAACTCAGCATTGTAATCCTTATAGAAAATAAACTTTGAATTTGAATTTGAATTGAATATAGCAGGAACTGTAGCTAAATGCATAGTGTTGACATATTTAAGCTTGAGGTGGGAGACTTCAGTACGGTAATGAAAATATCAAGTATTCTATTAAAGGTTCAGCAGTTTCTTTTCAGCAGAGCTGAAGTTACTATTGCTTGGAAATTACCATCTCCCAGGAAGTCCTAACTTACTGATTTAAAGCCTATGGACCCTTCATGAGGAAGAAGAGATACCCTGACGCTGGTAAAGCGCTGTTGATCCAGGGAACTGGTGCTACTCTTTCTTTCCTCGAATCAGACCTGATTGCTTTCCATTTCCTAAGTGCTGTATGAACCTTACGGGTTTAGTGTTTCATTATGAATATAATAGCAACAATGTCTTGTGCATCTATGTACTGAAGACATGACTGGGTAAGTAAAAAATGGCATCCTTCCCCAGGAGTTGTATGACCCCCCTAAGGGTTTAGCGCTTCGCTATGAACATGGTAACACATCCATCCATGACTCACGAATTCGTAATGATGAACCTTATGGGTCTAGCGCTTGAATCATGACTATAATCTTGCACACTGGGTGGGTGCTCATACATTATCTAAGTCTTTTCTCAGTCGAGGTAGATTTGAGACAAATCTATTATATGGTTAGCTATGATGTGTGCCCTCCAGACCACTGAAAAATTTTTGTAAATTGTATAAATAGTATCTAAATAACTTAATTGATCCACGCGAAAGTTGGCTTAGCTTTGATTTGTAAATGTTTTCATTTTATACGATTTAGTTTTAAATTAATATAACTATGGAATAAGAGAGTCGCAAAGTGTGCTGAATAATATTACGGAAAATGATATTGTACGAAAAATAATTATGCATAATAAAAATAATTCGACAGAAAGCAGCAACTGACAGCTCAACCAAAACAGTTGTGTTGCCAAAAACTCAAATATTATGTTGTTAAATGGAGAGAAAACTGCTTTATTATTACTATATTTTATATAACATTCTAATAAATACTTAACGTGAATATTGACGTATGTGTATTCAATTTATCGATTTTAAATGCGTATAGCCAAGAGAAAAAAAAATAGAATAATAATGTAGCAGCAAGAGGCAGAGTTGACGCATGAGTCGTGGCTGCCTCTCCACTCCTGAGGATCTGCAAGTTAGCGGGGAAAACTTCAGGGTCTAGATCTCAGTGTAAGAAAATCCTTATATACGAGTATCCTGCTGTTATATTGAACTAATACCGATATGAAAAGAATATCAGTAGTTGACAGGGAGTGCGCAGACTACCATGCACCGCCTAATCGATAAAATCAATGTTTTACCGGACAAAATAGAAGCCAACGTTTCTGCGATTCACCACAGCAAAACATTGTCTTGGCAATCATGTCCTCAACACTCATCATATTGTCCAGTGTTCTTTCTGAGGAAGTATAACATTAAATTGCAGCAAGAATAGGAAAAACAGAAGTAGAAAGAATTTGATTTTAGCCAGAAAGGCACCTACCAGTCTTAAACACTGCAACAATCAATTTTGGTCAGCCCAGGCAACCCAGCTTATAGTGGAAGCTTCCTCAAGAACATGCGGTAAGTAATATTAACGTGACAGTTGTCACAATGTGAGTGTAAAGTATCGAACAGGTTTAATATAGCTATTCTGAGCTATCGATTAGACT